AGAACAAGAAATTGAATATACTTACAATCGATATAACGTAGAGTAGTCGCATTATCAGTTGTTAGTTCATCTATTTTGTAGGCTCGATCGAGATCATGAAGAAATATATCCATTGATGGATAATCAAAGAAAGCATGATGGAAATTGAAGGTAATTATATCTTTGTCGGAAAGAATGTTGTTTGAAGAGATTTGTTGATAGTAGATAATATGACATCGAAAGACAATACCTTGAGCAAGATCAAAAAGATCAGGATTACATTTCTCATTTTCGATGATAGCATTGAGTTGTTCATCTGTTTCATAAGCGCTTTCAATAAATGTAAAAATTTGTCTACTGTTGTCATTCATATCAATGATTCGTTGCATGACTAGATTCTTTTCTGTATCGAAGAAAAGTGATGTATGAAGTGATTGATGTTTGATTAGAACTAGATTAAAAGCATTACGAAGTTGTTGTTTTGATAGAGAATGTTGATTTGTGAGACGATAAACGAAAAGCATATTGTAGATGACTACTTGTAGTTTTTCGAGATCAAAACAAATTCTTTCATCAAGCCAGATACGAGTTTGTGCATAGGATGCTGGTGCTGTATGAAAGAGAAAGCAATCAAATATGATTAACGATATTGTTTCTGATATCTATTTTGTGTGAGTTTTAATCATTATCGAATACTCTACCAATAGAATTTTTAAATAGTATAACTAATGTTGTTTGCGAGAGACGAGTGTGCTATTATATCGATTATTAATCAGAAACTTGAAATAAACAAATAAATGAAACAGATCGTCATGATGTTTTTGATACGTCGTCAGTTGCATTTTCTCGTAAATGCTTTAGTGTTTCTAACCGTTGAACTAGAGAATTTTTTTAAACGACAGAGTAACATGTCGATAAAACCTTTTAGAAATTGAAGGACGATGGATAGGCAAAAGTTTCATTGGTGACATAAATGCTTATTTTAAGCGAAAAAATAACGCGTGAGTCAAAAATGCTGGTTTTCAAAGTGAAAAGGACACAAATCATAGGACATTGCACATTATCACATAGCTGTCTATAGGAAAAATCATCTGAAATAATGTATTTATCTTGATATAAGTGAGAAAAATCTTGAGAGTGACTGTGGATGAATCAGAGTGTAGTTGGATGAGTACGGGTATTTATGTGTCTAAAGAATCCACGTTCATATTCATTCATAGTCACACACACTGTAAAGAAAGGACCACTCCTGAACCTTTCAAAAAGAATTGGTACATTTCTAAAAGACTTCAAATGTGCTTAAAGGTCTAAAAACGGTTAAAAAAACCTACAAAACCTTAAAAAGATTCGGGGGCGGGTACAGATTCAGAACCATCTCTTGCGAAACGTCTTTTAAGTTTCATACAACGAAAAAAGGTTTCAGAAGAAAATACGAAACCTTGATAGTTTACTACTGGACCTTATCGTTTCGCACTATGTTTTTTTACAAAGCCATCTTGACCAATACAAAACTATCAAGGTTTCGTATTTTCTTCCGAAACCTTTTTTCGCTATTTGAAACTTAAAATACGTTTCACAAGAAATGGTTCCGAATGTGTACCCGCACTCGGATCCTCTTAAGATTTCGTAGGTTTTTTTAACCGTTTTTAGACCTTTGAGCACATTTGGAGTCTTTTAGAAATCTACGAATCCTGTTTGGAGGGTTCAGGAGTGGTCCCTTTTTTTACAGTGCACCCTCCGTATGGTTGAGCGTCGGTTTTCGGTTGTACCGAACAATACAGGAACATATCATCAGTGATATTTCTGTATGATGTATAGACTATCAATATAAATGTTCATTAGGAAAAACGTCATCTCTACATAAACATACCTTCGTTCATTATATGTGATTGTCGACCAAAGATAGTTTCTTCCAGTTCTTGAGTTTCTTCTGGTAAAATAAGATCAAATTCGGATATAGAAGTAAAACATGTATCAATTCGATTCAATTTTTCATTCGATGAGAAAAGTTGTTGAAAACAATATTCTAATCTTCGACCTATATTTGTAACTGTGATTCCATCAAACAGATCATGTGAACAAGTTAAACGAAATGATAATCTATTATTTTCCGACATTGGGTTATAGACAAACATTAACATAAAATCAAACTTAGCCACTTCAAACGATTGTTCGAATGAAACGTGTCTAAAATCTGCTCCATCCAAAGATAATTCATCGCTATGTGACGATATAGTTATAAAGTCATACATTGTTTCAAGAAATGATACATTTGATTGATTAATATGTAAATTAGCAAGAATATGTTGAAGTGGATAATGTGAATGTTCAAGAATTGATGAACATTTCTCTCGTACATATTCAACAAGTTCATCAAATGACCAATGTAGATCAACTTGAATACGATGTGGCAGTGTTGAAATAAACATTCCCATTATATTCTGCAGCTCAGTTCTGTACCGATTAGCATTAAGACAAGAAATACATAAATCATTTTCACCATGCGTTAACTTGAAAAGAAAAGCATATAATATACTCAGAGCCAACTGAAATGGTGTCACATGATGTATAGAAGCATAATCAAGAAATACTTGTGTTATTTCATTGTCAAAAGAGATTTGAGTAGTACAAGCAGAACTCGATCGATGATTATCAGACAAACGATGTCGATCAACTGGTAATAATAATCGATATTCCAAATTGTATTCTTCTAATTGCAAATACCAAAATTCACGAGATGTTGTCATGTCAAGTAGATGCTCATGTACACTATAATCAATATATTGCAATGATTCATCATCTTCTGTTGGTATTGC